CAGGTCACTCTGAAGCATGCTAAAGTTTGAGAATCATTGGCCTAGAGAATCCCAGCCTCCAAAAATGAGTCTGGAAAATAACAGTTTTATTTCTAGTTTTATGGAACAAGAAGACATCAGGAACGGGAATGGATACCAAGTGCCAATGACTGTACCCAGCAAAAGAACATGGCCAATGGTGTCAAAAGCTTCAGTGACATGTGGAATATGATGACAACTGAAAAGAAGTGTTGAATCAGACACAAGAGAAGAGTTTCCATGGTGAGGCATAAAGGATGAGAGATGGAATGATATAAAAATTGATTAATAGTAGATAAAGAATGAGCACAGAGAGTTCTTACCGTCAGTGTGGCTGGGCAATGAAGAGGAGAAATGGGTTTTAGCCTGAGCTCAAATCTTTCACTTCATCTTCACGACCTTGTTTGAGCACCACCCTGCTCCATTTCAGACACTTTAGTTGCTTCTGCAGCTAATTAGCAAAGTTTGTGGAGTGCTTTTTTGGATGACTTAATTTCAAGTTCCAAGGGAGCACAAACTGCAATTTAGTGTACACCTGCAATTTAGCATATGCTTATAATTTAGCGTATAGTTATATTCCAATATGTGCCAGACACTATGCTAGGCCCTTGATATATGTTATTTTTATTTCTTACAACCAGAATGTAAGGCGGGTAAGAAAATTTAACTTATTTGTCTTGGCCACAATCTGTCTTGTTCCTCCAGATTTTGAGGTCTTTCCACTCTTCCATATTTTCTTTCTCTATAAAATTACTGGCTTCACAGGGGTGTGTTTTTTAAATAGCAGTATGATTAGAAAATACATAAAGGTATGTTTTGAGAACATATAAGGTTTATTTCATTGCTTGAATTCCACAGAATGTTTTAGACACCAACGTATACACATACTGTATTAAAAATTTAATTTTAAATGCTTGATCTTTGTACCTCCTTTGCTGCTGGGAATTATAGCATTTCTAATTAATGTAATTTTATTCAGTAACAGAGTATTCCTGAACTTTTTTCTGGTTATAAAGCATATACTGTTTTACAAAGTCAAATGAAAGCATTTCCTCTAAAATCAGGAACAAGACAAGGGTGCCCACTCTTGCCACTGTTATTCAACATACTTTTGGAAGTCCTAGCCATGGCAATCAAAGAAAAAGAAATAAAAGGAATCCAAACTGGCAAAGAAGAAGTAAAACTGAAACTGTTTACAGATGACATGATACTATACATAGAAAATCCTAAAGATGCCACCAGAAAACTACTAGAGCTAAACAATGAATTTAGTAAAGTTGCAGGATACAAAATTAATACACAGAAATCTCTTGCATTCCTATACACTAACAAAGAAAGATCAGAAGGAGAAATTAAGGAAACAATCCCATTTACCATTGCAACAAAAGGAATAAAATACCTAGGAATAAGCCTAAGGAGGCAGAAGACCTGTACGCAGAAAACTATGAGACTCTGATGAAAGAAATCAAAGATGACACAACCAGATAGAGAGATATGTCATGTTCTTGGATTGGAAGAATCAATATTGTGAAAATGACTATACTACCCAAAGCAATCTACAGATTCAGTGCAATCCCTATCAAATTACCAATGACATTTTTCACAACACTAGAACAAAAACTTTTACTTGTATGAAAACACAGAAGACCTCAAATAGCAAAAGCAATCTTGAGGAAAAAAAAAACGGAGCTGGAGGAATCAGCCTCCATGACTGTATACTACAGGGCTACAGTAATCAAGACAGTATGGTACTGGCACCAAAACAGAAATATAGATCAATGGAACAAGATAGAAAGCCCAGAGATAAACCCACACACCTATGGTCAACTAATTTATGACAAAGGAGGCCAAAATGTACAATAGAGCAAAGACAGCCTCTTCAATAGTGGTGCTGGGAAAACTGGACAGCTACATGTAAAAGAATGAAATTAGAACACTCCCTAACACCATACACAAAAATAAACCCAAAATGGATTAAAGACCTAAATGTAAGGCCAGACACTATAAAACTCTTAGAGGAAAACATAGGCAGGACACTCTAGCCACCTCCTAGATTAATGAGAATAAAAACAGAACTAAACAAATAGGACCTAATTAAACTTAAAAGCTTTTGCACAGCAACGGAAACCATAAACAAGATGAAAAGACAACCCTCATCTTGGGAGAAAATGTTTGCAAATGAAGTAACTGACAAAGGATTAATCTCCAAAATATACAAACAGCTCATGCAGCTCAATATCAAAAAAGCAAACAACCCAATCAAAAAATAGACGGAAGACCTAAATAGACATTTGTCCGAAGAAAATATACAGGTGGCCGACCAACACATGAAAAAATGCTCAACATCACTAATTATTAGAGAAATGCAAATCAAAACTACAATGAGATATCATCTCACACCGGTCAGAATGGCCATCATCAAAAAATCTACAAAAAATAAATGCTGGAGATGGTGCGGAAAAAAGGGAACCCTCTTGCACTGTTGGTGGGAATGTAAATTGATACAGCCACTATGGAGAACAGTATGGAGGTTCCTTAAAAAAACTAAAAATAGAACTACCATATGACCAAGCAATCCCACTACTGGGCATATACCCAGAGAAAATCATAATTCAGAAAGACACATGCAGGCTTCCCTGGTGGCGCAGTGGTTAAGAATCTGCCCGCCAGTGCAGGGGACACAGGTTCGAGCCCTGGTCTGGGAAGATGCCACATGCCGCGGAGCAACTAAGCCTCTGCGCCACAACTACCGAGCCTGTGCTCTAGAGCCTGTGAGCCACAACTGCTGAGCCTGCACACCACAACTACTGAAGCCTGCACTCCTAGAGCCCGTGCTCCACAACAAGAAAAGCCACTGCAACAAAAAGCCTGCACACTGCAAAGAAGAGTAGCCTCCACTCGCCACAACTAGATAAAAAGACTGCGTGCAGCAACAAAGACCCAACACAGCCAAAAATAAATAAATAAATTTATATTAAAAAAAAGAAGACACATGCACCCCAATGTTCATTGCAGCACTATTTACAATAGCCAGGACATGGAAACAATCTAAATGTCCATCAACAGAGGAATGGATAAAGAAGATGTGGTACATATATACAATGGAATATTATTCAGCCATAAAAAAGAACAAAATTGAGTCATTTGTGGAGACGTGGATGGACTTAAATACTGTCATACAGAGTGAAGTAAAGTCAGAAAGAGAAAAAGAAATATTGTATATTAATGCATACATGTGGAATCTGAAAAAATTGGTATAGATGATCTTATTTACAAAGCAGAAATAGAGACACAGATGTAGAGAACAAATGTATGGGTACCAAGGGGGAAGGGGCGGGTGGGATTAATTGGGAGATTGGGTTTGACATATATACACTATTGATACTATGTATAAAATAGATAACTAATGAGGACCTACTGTACAGCACAGGGAACTCTCCAACTATACTCCAATAAAATTTTTTTTAAATAACAATAAAAAGAAGAAATTTGACTTTACTTTCTTACTAGTTCATCAGGTTTACACACAGCCTATTAAGAAATTTGAGCAAATTAGATTAAATTAAAAGATAATTGACCCTTGAATGTCAGCAGTGCCTCAATTTTCTTCATCTAGTGAACTTTCTTCACTTATCAGGTAGAAGAGCAGAGATTTTTTACATGGCTACCAAGAGTTAAATAACTTACTTCACAGCAGCTGTGCCCCTTGCCTCTCCAATCCTTTTTGGACTCTTCCCCCAGTGGCAGCCATTGGTGGCTCTTTTATGTCATGTGATGTCTCATATCATTCTTGGTTCTCTTTATAGCTTTATGATCTCTTCTTTCCTTTAGTTGCCTTAAAATATATATATAATCAATTTAAGCCTGGCTCTTTCTCTTGACTCTTCCCTCTACCCATTTCTCTGATCAGCACAAATAAGGCCAGGAACCAAGTGGTATAAACATAGGCTGCTCTTTAGAAGAGCGGCCTGTGACCACATTCCCTTTTACAACCCATCATAAAACAAAACATCCACAGCCAAAGCATAAAGTATTTCTTTTCTGCTAGAAATTATAAAATTCATTATTTGTCTAATTTACTTTTATAACAAGATTTAAACAAAGTTAATGTTGATGAGAATAAAATCACTTATTCCAAACCCTATGTGTCAATTTGACATGATTTTTAAAATGTATTTAACATTGGAATTTACTGTTAGGAGATTCAGAAGTCTTCATTTTATTGTATAATAATGTATAATTTAAATACTCATAATGATCCCACTACTGGGCATATACCTTGAGAAAACCATAATTCAAAAAGAGTCATGTACCAAAATGTTCATTGCAGCTCTATTTACGATAGTCAGGACATGGAAGCAACCTAAGTGTCCATCAACAAATGAATGGATAAAGAAGATGTGGCACATATATACAATGGAATATTACTCAGCCATAAAACAAAACGAAATTGAGTTATTTGTAGTGAGGTGGATGCACCTAGAGTCTGTCATACAGAGTGAAGTAAGTCAGAAAGAAAAAAACAAATACTGTATGCTAACACATATATATGGAATCTAAAAAAAAAAAGGTCATGAAGAACCTAGGGGCAAGACGGGAATAAAGACGCAGACCTACTAGAGAATGGACTTGAGGCTATGGGGAAGGGATAGGGTAAGCTGGGACAAAGTGAGAGAGTGGCATGGACATATATACACTACCAAATGTAAAATAGTTGGCTAGTGGGAAGCAGCCGCATAGCACAGGGAGATCAGCTAGGTGCTTTGTGACCACCTAGACAGGTGGGGTAGGGAGGGTGGGAGGGAGGGAGACGCAAGAGGGAAGAGATATGGGGACATACGTATATGTATAACTGATTCACTTTGTTATAAAGCAGAAACTAACACACACACACACAAATACTCATAATGATTTAAAATCATGAAGTTTCTAAAACCAAATTTATAAATGATTTTTAAATAACACTTTCCCTTTCTCATTAGCTAAGAAATCTTCAAAACAAACTTTTCATAAAAGAAACTTCATTGCAAGAGATGAAGAATGAGCTAGAAAGTTACAAAGAAAAGAATGTGCAACAGTCATTCCACATAATGTCCCTGAAAGATGGTATCAAGGACCTAGAAGAACTTATTGCTTCTCTAACCAGAATTAAATCTTTGAAAGACACCAATATTCAGAGTCTTGAAAGAGGCAACTGGGATCTAACTAGAAGAATTATAGAACTAGAAAACCTTCTAAGGTAGGGAATTTTCTAGTTTATTTTCAAAAATGTCATTTGTCATAAGCTTGCAAATAGTATATGAACCTCATATCCTGATTGATCACAGAATTTAAATCTAATGGAATTTTAAATACAGACTCAAAATTATATTTAAAAAAACATTTTTTACTGAGATATAATATTCATTTCATTAAAATTCACCCTTTTGCAATATACAATTCAGTAGTTTTTAGTATATTCACAAGGTTGTGCAAGCATCACCACTCTCTAATTTCAGAATGTTTCCATCAACCCCTAAAGAAACCCCATGTCTGTTAGGAGTTACTCCCCATTCCACTCTCTCGTCTCTGGCAATCTACTTTCTTTCTCTGTGGACTTGCCTTTTCTGGACATTGCATACGAATGAAATGATACATACAATATACGGCCTCTGTGTCTGACTTCTTTCATTTAGCACAATTATTTCAAGATCCATCACTGTTTAGCATGAATCAGTACTTCATTATTTTATTGCTGAATAATATTCCATCATAAGGATACACCACATTTTATTTATCCATTCGTCAGTTGATGAACATTGGGTTGTTTCCTTTGCAGGGGACTTTATGATAAGCTGCTATGAGCATTCTTATATGAGCTTTTATATGACTGTATGTTTTATTTCTTTTAGGTATATGTCTTAGGAGTAGAATTGCTGGGTCGTAAAGTAACTCTATGTTTAACTTTTTGAGGTTACTTCTGAGCAACTTCCAGGCTGGTTTCCAAAATATTTAATTTTGATGAAGTTTATCTTTTTTTTGTTGTTGTCACTTGTGTCTTTGGTGTTATATCAAAGAAACCATTGCCTAATCCAGTATCACAAAGATTTACACGTATGTTTTCTTTTAATAGTTATTGTTTTAGTACTTAAATTTTTGTCTTTGATCCATTTTGGCTAATTAAAAAAATTTTTATTTTATTGAAGTATAGTTGATTTACAATGTTGTGTTAATTTTTCTGTACAGCAAATTAAGTTATACATATACATACATTCTTTTTTATATACTTTTCTATTATGGTTTATCACAGGATATTGAATATAGTTCCCTGTGCTATACAGTAGGGCCTTGTTTATCCATTCTATGTATAATAGTTTGCATCTGCTAATCAAAAACTCCCAATCCATTCCTCCCCCACACTCCCTTCCCCTTGGCAACCACAAGTCTCTTCTCTATGTCTGTGAATCTGTTTCTGTTTTGTAGATAAGTTCATTTGTACGCTTTTTTTAGATTCTACATATAAGTGATATCATATGGTATTTGACTTTCTCTTTCTGACTTACTTAGTATGATCATCTCTATGTCCATCCATGTTGCTACAAATGGCATTATTTCATCCTTTTTTATAGTTTTGTCCAGATGTATGCCCAGGAGTGGGATTGCTGGATTATATGGGCAACTCTATTTTTAGTTTTTAGAGGAACCTCCATACTGTTTTACATAGTGGCTGCACCAATTTACATTCCCACCAACAGTGTAGGAGGGTTCCCTTTTCTCCACACCCTCTCCAGCATTTGTTATTTGTAGACTTTTCAAAAAACTTGTTATTGGAGACAAATATACATGTAATAGTTTTTCATATCTTAAGTGTAAATCCTAATGAATTGTGGACTTTTTAATGATGGCCATTCTGAGCCATGTGAGATGATACCTCATTGTACTTTTGATTTGCATTTCTCTAATAATTAGTGATGTTAAGCATATTTTCATGTGCTTTTTGGCCATCTATATGTCTTCTTTGGAGAGATGTCTATTTAGGTCTTCTGCCCGTTTTTCGATTGGATTGTTTGTTTTTTGGTTGTTGAGTTCTGTGAGCTGTTTGTATATTTTGTAAATTAAGCCCTTGTCGGCCGCATCATTTACAAATATTTTCTCCCATCCTGTAGGTTGTCTTTTCACTTTGTTTATGGTTTCCTTTGCTGTACGAAAGCTTGTTAGTTTGATCAGGTCCCATTTGTTTATTTTTGCTTTTATTTTTATTGCCGTGGGAGACTGACCTAAGAAAACATTGGTACGATTTATGCATTTTGACTGATTTTTCTATAGGTGTGAGTTAGGGCGTCCCAATTCATTCTGTTTTTTAAAAATTTTTATTGGAGTATAGTTGATTTACAGTGTTGTGTTAGTTTCTGCTGTACAGCGAAGTGAATCAGTTATACATGTACACATTTTTTTAGATTCTTTTCCCATATAGGTCATTACAGAGTATTGAGTAGAGTTCCCTGTGCTATACAGTAAGTCCTTATTAGTTATCTATTTTATGTATAGTAGTCAAATTCATTCTTTTTCATATGAAGATCCACTTGTTGTCCCAGCACCACATGTTGAAAAGATTATTCTTTCTCCCATTGAGTTGTCTTGACAATTTTGCAAAAAAATCAATTGACCATAAATGTATTCATTTAATTCTGTACTCTCAATTCTATTTCACTGGTCTATGTGTCTATTCTCATACCAGTACCACACTGTTCTAATTACTGTAGCTTTGTAGTAAGTTTTGAAATGTGAGTCCTCAAACTTTTTGTTTTTTTTTCAAGATTGTTTTGGCTACTCTGGGTCCCTTACTTTTCTATATGAATTTTAAGATTGGCTTGTTGGTTTCTGTAAAAAAGGGAGCTGAGATTTTGATAGGGATTGTGTTGAATATGTAGATCAATTTGGGGAATACTGTCATATTAAGTCTTTAATCCATGAATATGGGGCCTCTTTCCAGTTATTTAGGTCTTTAATTTCTTTCAAAAATATTTTGCAGTTTTTAGTGAATGTCTTACATTTTTTTTGTTAAATTTATTTCTTCATTTCTAAGTATTTTATTCTTATTTATGCATTGGAAAGAGAACTGTTTCCTAATTTTGTTTTTGGATTGTTCATTTTCAGAGAATAGAAATATAGTGGATTTTTCTATGTCAATCTTGTGTCCTGCTAACCTTGCTGAACTTGTTTATTAGCTCCTATAGGTTTTCCTGTGTGTGTGTGTTTGTGTGTGTATTCCATAAGATTTTCTCTATACAAGACCATGTTATTGGCAAAGAGATTTACTTCTTCCTTTTTATTTATTTATTTATTGAAGTATAGTTGATTTACAATGTTGTATTAGTTTCAGATGTACAGCAAAGTGATATATAGATATAGATATAGATATAGGTATATATATATATATATATATATATTCTTTTTCAGATTCTTTTCCTGTATAGGTTATTACAAAATATTACTATAGTTTCCTGTACTATACAGTAGGTCCTTGTTGTGTATTTTATATACAGTGGTGTACATCAGTGAATCCCAAACTCATAATTAATCCTCCCTCCTCCACCCTTTGGTAACCATAAGTTTGTTTTCTATGCCTGTGAGTTTTTAAAATAAGTTCATTTGTATCATTTTTTTTAGATTCCACATGTAAATGATATCATATGGCATTTGTCTTTCTCTTTCTGACTTACTTCACTTGGCATGATAATCTCTATGTCTATCCATGTTGCTGCAAATGGCATTATTTCATGCTTTTTTATGGCTGAGTAATATTCTACTGTATATATTTACCACATCTTCTTTATCCATTCATCTGTCGATGGACGTTTAAGTTGTCCATGTCCTGGCTATTGTAAAAAGTGCTGCTATGAACATTGGGGTACATATATCTCTTCCAATTAGAGTTTTCATCTTTTCCAGATATATGCCCAGGAGTGGGATTGCTGGATCATATGGTAACTTTATTTTCAGTTTTTTAAAGAGCCTCCATACTGTTCTCCATAGTGGCTGCACCAATTTACGTTCCCACAGTGTAGGAGGGTTCCTTTTTCTCCACACCCTCTCCAGCGTTTATAATTTGTAGACTTTTTGATGATGGCCATTGTAACCTGTGAGAGGTGATACCTCACTGTAGTTTTGGTTTGCATTTCTCTAATAATTAGAGATATTGAGCACCTTTTCATGTGCCTTTTGGCCATCTGTATGTCTTCTTTGGAGAAATGTCTATTTAGGTCTTCTGCCCATTTTTTTTTATTGGGTTTTTTGTTTTTTTGATATTGAGCTATATGAGCTGTTTGTATATTTTGGAAATTAAACCCTTGTTGGTCACATCATTTGCAAATACTTTTTCCCAATCTGTAGGTTGTCTTTTCGTTTTGCTTATGGTTTCCTTTGCTGTGCAAAAGATTTTAAGTTTAATTAGGTACGATTTGCTTATTTTTGCTTTTATTTCCATTACTGTAGGAGACCCATCCAAAAAATTATTGCTGTGATTTATGACAAAGAGCATTCTGCCTATGTTTTCCTCTAGGAATTTTATGGTATCTGATGTTACATTTAGGTCTTTAATCCATTTTGAGTTTATTTTTATATATGGTATTAGAGGATGTTCTAATTTCATTCTTTTACCTATAGCTGTCCAGTTTTCCCAGCACCACTTATTGAAGAGACTGTCTTTTCTCCATTGTATATTCTTTCCTCCTCTGTAGTAGATTAATAGACCATAAGTGCGTGGGTTTATTTCTGGGCTTGCTATCCTATTCCATTGGTCTACATGTCTGTTTTTGTGCCAGTACCATATTGTTTGTATTACGGTAGCTTTGTAGTATAGTCTGAAGTCAGGGCACATGATTCCTCCAGATCTGTTCTGCTTTCTCAAGATCGTTTTGGCTATTCGGGGTCTTTTGTGTTTACATACAAATTTTAAAATTATTTGTTCTAGTTCTGTGAATAATGCCATTGGTAATTTGATAGAGATTGCATTGAATCTGTAGACTGCCTTGGTTAGTATGCTCATGTTAAATAATATTAATTCTTTTGATCCAAGAACATGGGATATCTTTCCATCTGTTGTGTTGTCTTCAATTTCTTTCATCGGTGTCTCATAATTTTTGGTAGGTTTATTTCTAGGCATTTTTTTCTTTTTGATGTGGTGGTAATGGGACTGATTCCTTAATTTCTCTTTTTGATAGTTTATTTAGTGTATAGAAATGCAACAGATTTCTTTATTTTAATTTTTATCTTACATCTTTACCAAATTCATTGATGAGCTCTAGTAGTTTTCTGGTGGTGTTTTTAGGATTTTGTATGTATAGTATCATGTCATCTGCAAACAGTGACAGTTTTATTTCTTCCTTTTGAATTTGGATTCCTTTTATTTCTTTATCTTCTCTGACTTCTGTGCCTAGGACTTCCAAACCTATGTTGAATAAAAGTGGCAAGAGTGGGCATACTTAATCTTGTTCCTGATCTTAGAAGGAATGCTTTCAGCTTTTCACCATTGAGTATGATGTTGTGTGTAGCTGTGGGTTTGTCATATACAGCCTTTATTATGTTGAGGTATTACTTCTTCTTTTCTAATCTGGATGCTTTTAAGTTATTTTTCTTGTCTATTGCCTAGACTCAAACTTCCAGTGCAGTATTGAAAGAAAGTCGTGAGAAACAGACATCCTTCTTTTGTTCTTGATCTTAGGTGGTGGTGGTGGGGGGGTTCAGCCTTTTACAATTAAGTACGTTTTTAGCTATGGGTTTTTTGTAGATGTCCTTTATCAGGTTGAGGAAATTCGCTTCTACGTTTGTTGAGTGTTTTTATCATTAAAAGGTGTTGGAGCTTGTCAAATGATTTTTCTGCATTTATTGGGATGATTGTGTGGTTTTGTCCTTTATACAATGCCTTATTCGTAGACCCGTGGTTACTTAATTGGTTTACAGACAGAGGAGATATTTGATCATGGGCCCTTGGTTGATAGGAGGAGAAACAAAGTCATTAATTTTCCCTCTTATAATATGAATAATATTTAAGTTAGTCATACAATATGAAAAGCTATTGTATTCAGATGTGAATGTGTATTCAGATGTGAAGCTGTTTCTATTCTACATTAGTTAGTATATATTGCCTCAATGAATAGGTTGAAGTTTCTTCTGGGTCTTGCATTTCCAAAATCTCTTTTAAAAAGAAACTATATAGGATCTTAAAACTAAGTGATAAAACAAACCTTTACTCAGGCTGAGAAATTATTAAAATTAAAGGCTAGCAAGAGGGAGAGTAGGATTTCCTTTTTTTCTGGTTGTGCAGTGTATGAAAAAAGAAGACTGACAAAGTTCAAATGAAGAACTGTTTAAAAGAAATTCATCATTTCAATAATTATCTTCTCAGTGATAAGCTACCACCTGAAGTTGGTCTATAGTTTAACTCCTAACAGCTGACCAAGCATTGCAGACTCTTCAGCACAATTTTTAATACGGCTGTAGAGTGAGTCACTCTGGACTTTTTGTTTTGTCTTTGATGCCAACAAGGAAGATGGTTATGTGGCATACCATACACTTTTTTTTCATATTTATGTTCATGTTGAAGAGGAAGAGAATTGGAAGCTGTTCCTATGGAGTGAACTCTGGAGGAAACTTGGGACAAAGGATTGTTCTTAGGCCGTATCTGGTCCTCAGCCCCTTTAGCTGTCCTCTCTTTGCATTTAGTGCAGTTGGGAATAAATTTTCAGACCCAGCACATTTTGCTTTTGTTCTATTGGTTACTGAAAGAGGTATGTTGAAATCTCCAATTATGATTGTGGATTTGTGCCTCTCACTTTTAGTTCAAATTTTGCTTTATGTATTTTGAAACTATTTGCATTCTAATATAGGATGTCTATATCTTTCTGTTGAATTGTCACTTTTATTAATATAAAATGTCCCTTTTATTTATTTATTTGTTTATTTATTTATTTATTTGTATCTATCCTGCTTAGGATTTGCAGAACTTACTGAATCTATCAATTGATGTCTTTCATCAGGTTTTGAAAATTCTTGGGAATTATTATTTTTTAAATGTTGTTTCTGTCCCGTTCTGTGTCTACTCTCATTCTAAGACTACAGTTGCAGGTGTTAGACATTTTGAGTGTGACCTACATGTTTCTAATATAATTTTTTCAATTAAAATTTTCTCTTTAGATAATTCAGATCGTTTCTTTGATCTGACTCAAATTCACTAATTCTGTAGGATGCAAATCTTAGATAGAAGAGAACATAAAAAGCATGGAAGATGGACTGAAACTTTAACCTAGCCTCACGGTAGAAAACGTTACCAATACCTACCAATGGTTAATCAAAACAAGAACCAAATAATTAACTGTTTGTATATTTGATAATAAAACAAGTTTTTACATATTCTATTCTCTATTGTTGTATTATTATTTCTAATTCCTTTACCCCTCGTGCAACCCCATTCAGGGATTCAGTTGAAGAACCCATGCAAGTGTTACTAAAATGGGAGTACATTTCTCCCTCATCCCTTGTCCCTTGGTGTCTACAGGAGATGGTTCCAGGACCCCTGAGGGTACCAAAATCTGCAGATGCTAAATCCCTTATATAAAATAGTATAATATTTGCATATAACCTATGTGCATCTCCTGTGTACTTTAAATCATCTCTAGATTACTTCTAATACCTAATACTATGTAAATGCTATGTAAATGGTTGCTGGTGTGAGGCAAATTTAAGTTTTGCTTTTTGGAACCTTCTGAAAAGAATCTTTGTGAATATTTTCAATCCATGGTTGGTTGAATCCATGGATGTGGAACCCTCGAATACAGAGGCCCACTGTGCTTGTACACATGTGGAACCTCCTGATCATCACAATATTACCATAGTAGCAGACAGATATTCATACTCAAATTTCCTCTTGAAAAGGATGGTTTCAAAATTGACCTCCCCCAGGGGAACGACTGCAGTACTTAACACTGGATTGTTGTTCTCTTCATTTCTCTACCATTTCTTGTCTCTCCCTAGAAATAGTTGGGTAACTGCACAGCTTTTTTCATAAGAAATACATTTTTACTTGATACACATGTTTAATATACTTTAAATGGGGGATATTTCTTTTTATTATTTTAATTGAAATTTGAAAATTGGTTTCAAGATATCATTACCTGCCAATATCTTACACAGAGTACATCTGATTGAAAGAAAAAAAGCAGAGGGAAAAGCAGACCTTTTGGAGAAAAAGTTAGCAGATGTTAACAGATTCACCCCTTATATGAGTATGAAAGAACAAGAAGACAGTTTCATGATGAAGGTGAGAACAAATTTTGATTGATTTTTGAAGAAACAGGATTTTTTATTACCTTGTGTTACTCCAGATGATAATTGGCAAATGTTGAGTGGTTTATTGGTCCTCTTCTTATGGAGGATAAAAGGAAGCGGTACAGCATGGCAGACTGGAAGAGTTTCTGAGGTATGGAGAAAAAGTGCAAGGCAGATCTGAAGGTCTCTGTGATACTAAAGAAAAGGTTAGAGGGAATGGAGCTTTGAGAGAAATGGGAGGAGGTGGTGGTTAGAGAGTGAAATATTCAAGTTTTAAATTTCTGGTATGGGTTAGTTCCTGCTGCTGACAACATCTGGGCTTTTGGAGTTGGGTGTAAGGATTGAATAGGGGTGTAGGTGAAAGTCATTGAAACTGAAGCACAGGAGTCACAAAACTAAACTGGTGGATCATCTACACTGGACATTGAAATCTAGAATTATGGCATGAGTTGGGTTTAGAAGGAAGAGGTTATCCTTGTCCCTAGTAGATAGCAATTTACAGGATAAATGGAAGTTTTATGGAAGAATGTTGGAGGAGGATGGGAGATGGACTACTGTCAAGGAAGTGGTAAAAGTTTACTTTGAAATCCATGGACCCAAACTGTTTATTATATATTCTGAATGTAAAATAAGGCCCATCATGATCCCCTTAATGTGAGGAGTTCTACTTAAAAAAATTCAGCAACTACTTTCAGAGTTTAAAGTAATTCCAATTTTTAATCACCTCTTTCAAGTAATTCACAGTAACACTTTCCATGTTTTTGACTTCTCTGTCACATCTCCGAAAACCTCTCCCACTCCGGAGTCCATGTAGCTCTGACCTTTTCTTCCACTGCTCTTTTATTCTACCTCCTTTTTCTGGGCTTTTAGTGAGACAAACCCATCATTACTTCAACAACTCTAGCTCCCCTTCTATTTCCCAGTTTCACATGACAAAAAGCCCAGAAACTAAACTTGTTACAGTTTTCAGAATAGAAGGTGGCAAGAGGTGAAAAGAAGACTCGAATTTATAAAGGCAGAATATTCCTGGGAGAAGTGGGGGGAAGGAGAAGTACAAGCATTATCTTTTATTTTTTTCCTGTTTACAGTGGAAGCAGGGTGCTTAAAAGGGAAAGGTTGGGGGAAAGAAATGTGAGTTATTTATGCTTTTACATTATCAAAGCTGTTACTATTAAATGATGTTCTATAATCATAATTAAATCGTTATGAAAATATCAATTTCCCTGCCAGCTTTTCACTTAATAGTCGTAGAATTCATTGACAATCCTTGCCTGAATCAGTTATTTTTTTAGGAGAAGTAAAATGCTGAGTTTTAAAATTCTATCATTATTCCTACATTTATTAGCTCAAAATATTCTGTAAACAGTTCCTCCATAAACCGGAGCAGTTCAGTTAGCTGCTTCTCTAAGCTAAATTTCCTATGTTCTCAAAGTAGTTTCTCTATAACATCATTTTTTTTTGCCCTCCCCACCTGCCCCCACATAATATTTTAATACTTCTTGATGTTCTAGTTTACCCTTTTGAGTGTGTCCTTGTGTCTCTTATGACTCTCTAACTCTTTATTTCTATTGAGAGCCTTTTTTTCCTGAAGCTTTGTATTATGACTATACTTATATTTCAAAAGGAGGGAAGTAGATGTCTCAATATTAAATTCTATATGGGAAGTTTAACATGTGCGTCGGCATATTTAGGACAAAGATGAAGCTATCCTGGTCAAGAACTTTGAGAGAGACAACACTTTTCACTCTGAAGGACCAAAAGATGGACAGAAAATTTGGGATAAATGTCAACAAGATTTGGTCCATAAGGAAAAACAATTACCTGAGTTAGACAGACCTCTGTATTCATTCAGCTGGGAAACTAAAACTGTGCCATCCCTCTATCAGAAATTCCTCAGTCAGTTGTCTACTCTTCCCAGCAACAGTGTTGAACCCATACCAGCCACAGAGGAAGGTGTGAAAGAGAGCATTCAGGAGACTTGTGCAAATGAGCAATCTTGGAAGTCTGTAAGTGTATTGACAGATGAGTTACTCTTTCAAATTAGTTTTAGGGTGTGGGTTTTGATGTTAGCTGATTTAGTAAACTCTGTGGCTCTGAGTTTATTTTTATTACTATAGTGATAAAAGGGAAGAGGATGTCCATTATCACAGTAGAGGTAGTATAGTGTGTTTGTTAAGAGCCAAGAGGACTGGTATGAATCCCAGCTCTGCCATTAGCAACTGTGTGCTCTTGGGCAGGTTACTTATGCTCTCTGTGCCTCAGTTTCATTTGTAAATTTTGGCAGGAGTGGGGGTAGGGTTGGGGTAGGTTTAGTTCCTGTCCCACAGAATGGTTGTAAGGATTAAATGGATTAATACATGATAAATGCTTCAGTTCAGTAAGCTCAACGAATGCTAGCTTAAAAATAGTGGTGTGGTGAGGATAATGTTTCCATCATGATCAAACACTGGTCAGTTCAGTCAGTGCAGTAAAATAAATTATTAAGTCAGTCATTTGTTTCAATTTACTGGTCAAGTCTATCGAAAGATTGATCCAGCAAGTTTAAGTGGATGTATCTCCTTGTTATGTCCAAATCATTTTAGTAAAATTTCATGACTCTTCACCCTAAAATTCAGATGAAAATAGGTATTGCTTAAATTCAATGTGTTAGTAAAACCTACTACACAGTAGTCTGTTTATTGTACAGTTACAAATTTTTTACGCTCTGCTCTCTTAAAATTCATTATACAGTTTTATTTCTCAGTACTCACTAAAATGTCTTATTTTTATATATCAAACCTTTCTGTTTCTTTTTTAAAAACTAGCTTATACATGTCAAATCTTCTTAAATGTCTTCCCCATTCATCTATTTTAGTAACTTAATGTTACTGCAATGTCAATATAAGTAGAACTTGCAAATAGTTTTGAAAAATACAAATCATGGACCATCAGGATGTTTTATCTCTTTTTTTTCCCTGCAGAGATCTGAAGGCCACCATCAGGAAGTTCAGATGCTCACTAAGCAATTGGAGAAGCAGTATCATCACTGTGAAGAAACTGCTGGAGAATCATCTGACACTGAGGAAAAGTATAAGGAACAAAAGAGACCCTTGAAAAGTCTGAAAGGAAAAATTGCTATTAATGATCTTTTTCCAGGGAGATTAGACTTGGACACGAATAAAGTAAGAATTTCCTGAAGTATAAGGCATTTCTTTGACAATGAAAATGATCATCTTTTATTATACCATCTAATGTTCAAAGCTGTTAATGCTATTTGTACTTTTCTTAGTATTAGGAAAGGGAGGAAAATTTGCTACAAACTTTTGAACATTCTGATTGTATCAAAAAGCCTTTTCTTACTCCATATCTCCCATTTCTCTACTGTACATATTTGATATTTATTGTAAGCATTGTTAACATACTTCTTAATGTACTTTTAAAAGAGGATTAGAGGGAAAGGAGCTCAAAGGAATGACTCTCTAAAGGGGGAATTTCAGGTGTACTGTGTCAGCTAGATATGATGGGCATTGGGAATGGGCTGTTGGTGAAATTCCTCAATAATTACCTTGTAGACAATTTCCTTCTCTATTTTCTGCTTCTCTGCATCTATAAGGAAAAGGTCAATCCTAAAAGTGGAATGGGAATAGGTAGGATGATTTTCAGGAGATTTTGATTCTATTTCACTACCTCTTCACAGAATTGCTTGTCATACCCATACCTATATTATACTATTTCTATAATTACTGTGCCCCAAAGCATAAACTTACTCACTCACTACTCACTCATTTAGTCTCTTATTCCATTCATTCATTCATTGATCCAATATATTTTGATCCCTGAGTTTTTTTTTAATATAGAACATTAAAAATTTTTTTTAAAATTTTATTTTTGGCTGCATTGGGTCTTCGTTGTTGCACGTGGGCTGTCTCTAGTTGCGGCGAGCAGGTCTTCATTGCGGTGTGCGGGCTTCTCATTGCGGTGTCTTCTCTTGTTGCGGAGCACGGGATCTAGATGCACGGGCTTCAGTAGTTGTGGCACACGGGCTCAGTAGTTGTGTCTCGCAGAGTGGAGGCTCTAGAGTGGCCCTAGAATGGAGGCTCAGTAGTTGTGGCACACAGGCTTAGTTGCTTCGTGGCATGTGGGATCTTCCTGGATCAGGGATCGAACCCGTGTCCCCTGCATTGGCAGGCGGATTCTTAACCACTGCACCACCAGGGAAATCCTGATCACTTGGTTTTTAAAAACTTCCAGCACCTGGTGAAGTGGTATCGACAATGTACTCCACAGAGTCCAAAGATGAATCCAGCTTCTACCTCTGCTCTTGAATCTGTAATTGATGATGATTCATTTCCATGCAAATTTTAAAAATACTATATTAAATTTTAAGAATATACAAATAGCGCATGCTTTCCGCAACCCTTGAAACCATGTTAAAAGGTTTGAAGGAAACAATAATAATCTTCTCTAACCCCCTTTCTGCCTGTTTCATGTTGGTAACCAATGTGTCTATATCTTTTACAACTATTGCAATGATTATGGAAATATATGAATATATATATGTAGGTGTTGGTATTTTTACAAAACTGGGACTGTACCAGTCAAAATACTCTTCTTACTTGGTAAGAAGTAGATACCTCATGGTCTTTCCTTAGGTCAAAAGATATAGATTTAACTTATTCCCTTAACAGCTGTACAGTATTCCATACTGTGTATATAACTTATTTATTCAACCAATTCCCTATTAAGAATTATTGATGGTCCTTCTCTTATTTCCACTTTTTATGCCACTACAAATAATGCTGAAATAAGTATGTATATACAAATATCTTTGCACACTGGTGCTTCCTCCCCCTATGGGGTTGAGTTCTAAATGTGGAAATATAGGATCACAGTGTATGAGTATTTTCTTTTTAAATTTTTTTCTTTGGCTGCGCCGCACGGCTTGTGGGATTTTAGTTCCCCAAACAGGTATCGAACCCAGAGCCCCAGCAGTGAGAGCTTTGAGTCCTAACCACTGGATCTCCTGGGAATATCCTAAGTATTTTAAAGTTTAATAGCCATTGCCAGAACACTACCTTGCAAAAGGCAGTTCACTTTCCAAATAGCAATACATGAATGTTTCCTCTTCACATCCTAGCCAGCATTGGATGCTGTCATCCTTTTAGAGTGTGTGTTTGTGCGAGTTAGGTTAAAATGGTACAGTTTTTACATTTACCTTACTACTAGTAAGGTTGAGTAACTTTCTTTTTTAATGCTGTTGACCACTTGGATTCCCTTGCCTCCCCATTCCTCACAATTGGACCTCAGATACAGAAGGTTGAGTTAATCAAAGTCCATGGTTTTTAATGCATTAATTTGGGCCATGGAAGGTCTCTCTCTTATTTATTTATTCTTTCCTTGGATCTTGTCCATTGCCTCCCCAAAAGGAAGTCAATCTAATATGTTTAATGTGTATTTCTTTGTTTATATGTGTTTCTTTAAATGTAATTTTTGTGCAAGTATTTTAAATTTGCATAAGTGGTATCGTGTTAAAAATCTCATTCTAGGGCTTCCCTGGTGTCGCAGTGGTTGGGAGTCCGCCTGCCGATGCAGGGGACACGGGTTCGTGCCCCGGCCCGGGAAGATCCCACATACCGTGGAGCGGCTGGGCCCGTGAGCCATGGCCGTTGAGCCTGCGCATCCGGAGCCTGTGCTCCGCAACGGGAGAGGCCACAACAGTGAGAGACCCACATACCGCAAAAAAAAATCTCATTCTATTACTCAGCACTGTATTTTTAAGAGCCACTTAATATTGCTATTTGTTCATCTAATTCATTGCTTCTGTCTACTGCATGGAGTACTACAGTGTTCATATCTGCCATGGTTTTAATTTTTTATTTTTATTTATTTATTTATTTTACCTGTCTCTTCTTCTAGTGGTAAATAGCCTTGTTACCTCTATTTTTATGCTACCACAAACAACATCACTGTTAGCATCCTGGTACAAGTCCCCTTTATGGACCCCAGAGAGAATTGCTTAGGGGTGTTAAGTCAGGATTTGAATTGGTGGCTCATAGTGTATACATACACTTAATATGACTAAGTACTGCCAGTCAGCTCTCACAGAACAATAAATCGTCCCACCAGAGATACAGGAGGGTTTTTGAATCTCCACATTCTTGTCATTTCTTGACACTAGCAGCTTCCTAACTTTTGCCATTCCATCAGGTATAAAATGATTGCTAATTTAACTTGCATTTCTCTAATTATTAATGAGTTTTGCGTTTCCTTAATGTTTTTCACCTTTTGGTTTTTTAGTTTCTGCCCGTTTGTTTCCTTTACCCATCTTCTTATTTGGGTTCCTGTCTTGTTCTTGTTGATTTCCAGAACGGTATACACATCTTCCTTGCCCTGTTCAGGCTCTAACACTCCATGACAGGTCACCTCTCCATATGTGATCAGGCTCTGAATCCCTCTGCAGGGCAGCCCTCTTCTGCAGACACTTTTGTCACCTTGCTTGGGTTCTGTAGGCCTGCTATGAGCCTCAGCATTTCCCTTCTCATTCTGCGCAGATGCCTATGGCTTTAGGACTGAATTGTTTAGAAGGGGAAAGAAGGAAAGGAAGAAGAATAGGAGGAAGAAAAATAAGAGCAACTGGTTTATGATTAACCTTTCGAATATTCTGATAAATGCACTCATTTAAACCATAATTTTTCTGTCAAGAACTACTTTTGCTTTGTTCCACAAATATTGACATGTACTGTTTCCCTTATCTTTTATTTTAAATATAGCAATACATTTTTATGTTTCCAAATGTATAGGATTTTTTAAAAATTTGTATTTTATTACAACATGGTAGAAGTATGATATGATCCCTGGGAATTTATTGAGGCTTCCTACATGGCCAGTGATTGGTCTGTTTTGGTAGCTGTGCCATGTGTGCTTATAAAGAATGTGTTCTTTCTTGGTTGGGTATAAAGCACTATAAATAGCTAATGCTCAAGCATATTATTCGTATGGTTCAGATTGTCTGTACCTCTGATTATTTTTGTTTACTTGATTCTGGAAAAGATATGCTACATTCTTCAAGTATAATTTTTGTTTTTGTTTTTAAATTTATTTTTGGCTGCACTGGGTCTTCATAGCTGTGCGTGGGCTTCCTCTAGTTGCGGCGAGCAGGGGCTACTCTTCGTTGAGGTGCTCGGGCTTCTTATTGCAGTGGCTTCTCTTGTTTTGGAGCATGAGCTCTAGGCGCTCGGGTTACAGTGGTTGCAGCATGTGAGCTCAGTAGTTGCAGCTCACAGGCTCTAGAGCATGGGCTCAGTAGTTGTGGCACACGGGCTTAGTTGCTCCGCAGCATGTGGGATCTTCCCAGACTAGGGCTCAAACCCATATCCCCTGCATTGGCAGGTAGATTCTTAACAACTGGACCACCAGGGAACTCCTCCAAGTATAATTTTTGATTCATCCATTTGTCTGTGCTGTTCTATCAGTTTTTGTTTTATAGATTACTGGAGCATATGCGTTCACGATGATTTTGCTATCCTGTTCTTTTAAGCACTATAAAACATTCTCTTATTTGTCCTTTATAAAATATTGCCTTAAATTCTGTTTTCAGAAATTATGATCACTAATGCAATTTTTGGGGGGTTCATTGTTGCATGATATATCTTTTATTTGGTTTCTTTTACTTGGTCCTAATTTTTTAGACAACCACCAAATTTGACCAACGTGTTTGATTTCTCTTAGTTGCATATTTCTTGAAGCTTCCTCCTGGATTTTTCTCCTAATTTGAGTGTTTCCACAAGAGAGTTTTAAAAAATTGGATCTTTGTGTGGCAAACTTTCTGACACCTCGTGTGCCTGATAACACTTTTAGTATGCCCTCATATTTGAATGACAATTTGGCTGGATATAAACTTCTAGGTTCAAAGTTCCTTCATTAAATTCTTTAAAATTATCTCCTTGCATCCTCTGTTACTGTTGAAAAGTCTAACAAAAATGTGATTCTTATTCCTTTGTAGGTGATCTGTTCTTTCTCTCAGGAAACCTTAAAATTTTTCTCATTTGCTTTAATGTTCTTAAATTTCACTATAATGTGCTTAGGTATATTGTTTTACCTTATCTCTCTTATTTGGCACTCTATGAATTTTTAAATCTAAGTCTTTCATCTGTCAATTTTACCATTATTTATTTAAACATTT